GTTCTTGTGAAAAGGAAACGGTTGGAGGCCCCCTCACAGGGGCACCCAAATGGATGCAAGTAGGTCTTTGGAAATGGCAACAAAGCCTATGACAGAGAAAAGACAGACACCAACAGGAAGGAGAAGTAGGAACAAATGTGCAGAAACCATATTTTTTCATTGGGTGAGCTGAAATACAAGATGCTAGAAGTATAAAGAGTACAATAAAATATGAGAGCTTTGTTATTCACGTCAATTTAGATTTAAATTATTTTTATCAGCAAGAAGGCTGCTAGATCTGAAATTGGGATAGTAAAAATATAATAAGTCTAGCAGGTCAGGGGGACTTCTGGTAAACGGTGAGGTGAATCAATGTATTGATGAGTCAAAATACAATGAGTCAATATTTATGTGTTATATAAAAGTGTGAGAGTTTAATATGCATAAACTAAATTGTGAAACTTGGTGGTTAGAATAGCAAGCTGAAAAGAAAATGCCCCAAGCCCTTAGATACACAGTATGACAACTGTGTGAGTCTTTAAAAAAAAAAAAAAAAAAAAAAAAAAAAAAGATGTTTTCATGAGAACTCAGTGAAGATTTGAGAATGTGAAATTTGGGGGAAGTAAAAAGACAAGGGATATCTTTGGCCCTTTATGCTTGGTGTTACTTCAGAAAGTGGTCTAGAAGACATCAACGTGAAAATTAATCACTTTAAAAACAGGTTAGGTTTCATATATATACCATCCCACAAGCCCCTCCTTAGCATGGTTGTTCTTGACAACCACAATTTCCTCTTTTTATTTTAATTCTGTTTTTTTCTCTGCTTGAAGTCTTGTCTATAACGTGGGAAACTTATTGTAAAACTATTGTCTTTTATTTCCTCTTTGGTTTATCATAGTTGATAGTGATTTTAAGAGTTATTAGTATTAGTAGTATATATGGAAAAAACAGACAGAAAAGTTACTGTTTAGTGGATATAGAGGGGGTTTGAATATGAAACTCAGTATTCTTCTGGGGACTTCGGTAAATCTTTTCCCCTTTTTTGTTAAGAATAGCTGATACACCTGCAGGTTTCACTTTGAGTTTCTGGTTTGAGTAAGTTCAAGGCTGTTTATAAAAGTCAAAAGAATTTGCTGGTCCAAAATGCAGCAACATCTTCCTTGAATGGGGCAGTTGCCAAATCTCTGCATTGTTTTGTCTGTTTGTTCCTACTGTGGCTATCAAATAAAATGGAAATGGAAATGATTGTGGAGAGGAGTCAAAAGAGCAGAAGAGTGGATGAACTTTTTTGGAGTTGCACATTTTGGGGACTCGTTTTACTGTCTTTTGCTTTTCTAGCTTTTGACAAAATCCCTGATGAATTTGGAGAGTTCTCATATCAGTTTAAGAGATCATTTGGTGTGTTTTAACATCAAAATATTTTCAGGGTATTTCATGATTATGATGTTAATTTTGTCTTCCTAAACCCAATCAATAAAAATTCAAGAGAAAAAAAAGAGATACTGGTAGGGGCAATGGCTTGGTGATAACATGGCTTTATCATTCTGGTGATTATGATGGATGTCTGTTCATTGAAAGTGACGCTTGGAAGGGACACTAACATCTTTCCTTCTCAAAATATATGTTCAGGCCTTCTCCCTCCCCCATGTGCTTAAGGTCAAAAAACCCCTATTATTAAATGTCATTTATTTGACTTGATAAGGAGAAGTCATCAGTGACTAACTCAGCTCCAATTTACAGTGGAAGTTCTTAAAGAATTTTTTTAACATTGCTTTTTCATAGGATTACATTATTTTTCTTATGAATCGAATGTGGCTGAAGACTCATAAAATCCTGTAATTGCAAAGAAAGAAGCTCTAAATTTCCTAGAACATGTAAAAATCGCATAATTTGGTGAAAACGTTGTATAACCCAGTATTCAGTTCTCTTGCCCTTTTTTTTTAAATTAACTACTAAAGAGAGTTCTTATGGGTTTTTTTTTTCATTTTTAGACAGTTCTTACTCCTCCTCTTGATCAGGTCTCCTGGTTGTAGCCCAAGAGTAGGTTTTTTGCCATTTTTATATTTCTATTCTGAAAAAATATAGCAAAGCAGGATTTCAGTTTGTTGAGGGAACCAGTATGAAGACTTGTTCCTGAAAGTAGATCTATCCAGTTCTTAAAAAACCCCACAAAAACATGCAAATGGCTAGAGCTGATAAGATTCCAGCAGAGATTTTGTTCTCCTAAATCAGAAAACAGGAAAATGTTAAATTATTCAGTATTATTTAAATACTGATGAGATACTTGTCAGTATAAACAGCAGCTCCATTGTTTGTCAGATAATGAATCTGACTTCACTGTGCCTGATCAAATGAGTGCCATTTTATCTATCCTTTTTATGAAAATTGATTCTCCATGTGCCAGGTCTATAGGAAGCTACACAGCTGTTGATTCAAATAATGAGTTAAGATTCAGTAATCATTTACCCAACCAGTAAACTAGCTGAATCTACAGAAATTTAATTTTCTATAGAAACTGTGTATGATAATAATGATACATGCAGAGAGAGTGAGCCATCCAGTTTGGGTTTGTCAGCTGGAAGTGAAGGAGATGAGATGACTTTAGTTCTCCATTCACGCCATCATGTGTGACCTGTGTTCCCTGTTACATGGGCATAGCTGTGCCATCTTCACTGTTGGGCTATGGTTACCCTCAGCTCTGACAGCCACATCCTATTAAAATGTTTTTGACAGCATCCAGTTCCCAGAGCATTAAGTCTTTGAATTCCAGGATCTGAGAGAACTGTGGAAGTTCAAAGTCCAGTTTCTGGTTGCCTGTGCCTTGTTTAGTTGCACCAGCTACAAAGAAGGTCTAAAGCAGGTAGAATACACCCTGGACCTGACTAATGAAGGCTGTACATGCCTGCTCCTAATGAGTTCTGGTGTTGAGGCTACCACAGGTGTAAGAGGACAAGTGGAAATTAGGCCAGTCTTGCTTATGTGGATGCCAGAAAGACAAAGTCCAAAGGAGGTAGAGCAGCTCAGACTGCTGCAATGTTATGGTATTAAAGACACACTAGCAAATAATTCTCAAACAACAGATACTGACCTCAGTGCTTCAGTGGCCTTTATAATTTAACTATGGAATAGTTATGTGACTCAAGGTGCTCCATTAAAGGAAAAGCATTAAGACTGAAGAACAGAATACTTGCTGGTTTTCTTTTCTAGTCAGTCTCTATAGCCATTAGAGTTGTTCCTGTCCTCAGTTGATTGTTTTCTTGCATCAAGTTGGTCCTCATCCTGTAAGGTGCTGTGGTGAGTTGAAGTTGGCTGGCCACCAGGTGCCTACCAAACCACTGTCGCTCCCCCTCCTCAGCAGAACAGGGGGAGAAAATACAATGGAAAAGCTCATGGAGAAGTTTGTGAAGGACCTTCCTACAGGCTGCAGTTTTTCAAGAACTGATCCAGCATGGGTCCTTTCCATGAGGTGCAGTCCTTCAGGAGTGGACTGCTCCAGCATGGATCCCCTCTGGGGTCACAGGTTCTGCCAGAAAACCTGTTCTGTGTGGGCTCCTCACCATGGACTGCAGTTCCCACCAGGACCCTGCTTCAGTGTGGGCACACTGGGGGCTGCAGCTTCCTTCAGGGCGTGTGTACCTGCTCTGGCATGGGGTCCTCGCTGGACTGCAGTGTGGATACCTGCTCCGATGTGGTCCTCCATCAGCTGCGGGGGAGCAACCTGCTTCACCATGGGCTTCACCACGGGCTTCACCACAAGCCGCAGGTGAATCTGCTCTGGCACCTGGGGCACCTCCTCCCTCTCCTTTTTTACTGACCTTGGTGTCTGCAGGACTATTTCTCTCACATTTTCTCACTTCTCTCTTACAGCTGCTGCATTTGTTATCCTTTCTTAAATGTTTTTTTGCAGAGGTCCCACTAGCGTTGCTGATGAACTCAGCTTTGGCCAGCTCCAAGTCCATCTTGGAGCCAGCTGGAACTACTGTCTCTCTCTGACATGGGCAGCTCCTGGTGTCTTCTCACAGAAGCCACCCCTGCAGTCCCCCCACTACCAAAACCTTGCTGCGTAAACCCAAGACAGGTGCACACAAACCCAGTGAAGAAGTATACTTATATGTTTAAAGGACTGCTTATATGTTTAAAGTTTGACCGTAGTTTGAACCCTAGTTCTGTGCAATCAGTACCAGAGTTCTCAGTCGCTTGCAGGCTTGTGGCTCTTTAGAAAATGATGATTATAGTTCTGGTCTCTGGCAGTACTCCATGTCAGACACCCTTTTGCACTACTTCTCTGCCTGCAAAGGAATAAATTTATGAGAAAGAGGAAGAGAATTATTACAGAAGCTGTATCTCCACAGTATCTCAGCACCACCGATGTGTGGTTCTGTCCTCACACACCCCTTTTACAACAAGAGCCACCACTTACTGTCATGCAGCATGTACCCATTTTCCTTGTCTCAGTGCTCTCCTTCAGATCTCTTGAGGTTAGGTAAGACTTGAGTTCTCTCAGTGCACTAATATTTGAAAGAAAATAAGGAGAAATATTGAGACAAGAAGTTGGTTGTGTGTCTAACTATAACAAGGTCCTGCACTAGATAACACCTAATAAACTCTTGTTGTATTAGTTGTCTAAGCCAAAGGAAGAAAGCTTTCAAGATGAAGCATTCAGGAATGTCTCAACCTCAAACTTTGTTTTCCTCCATCTCACTAGCTACATTTCTTTGATGTTTAAGATACAACCATGGTTTATTAGCTAATGACTTCCTATGAAATGTAAACAATACAAGGAGGTTGTTGGAACTCATAAAGAGTGTAGAGCCGAAGTGTGTGTTTAAGCATATACAGGACTGAGATTCTGATCTGTTAACAATTATTTCTAAACTATGGATGGAGGGTTTTGCAAGTCATGAACGGTTGTTTTGAAGTTAATTGGGAACACAGTACAAAAGAACGTTGCTTATCCTCTGGTTTTGACAGTTGCTGGCTTTGAAATGGACTTGAGATCACGATGTGGGTTTTTTTCTTTCAGATGGAGCGAACATGTGATGATATAGATGAAATGTTCAGCAATTTACTTGGGGAGATGGACATGCTGACCCAGGTAAATAATTCCTTTTTCCACCAAGATTAGAAAAATAGCTATTATGTGTTAAAGAGGCAACTTTTCTGTATATTTCATGTACCTCTATTCTGAATAAATACAGATCCATTATTTTGAAAAACCTTCAGCTAAATTTCTCTGCTTGACATTTAAAACAAGTGGTCTGAAGAATAAAGTAATATCAGTGCAGGCCAGATTGTTAAAGGGAGCAAACTGCTTATGAAAGATGCTTTCTCAAAAGAAAACAAGTAAGCTATTTAAATTCCTCTGGACTCAGTCCCAAGAAACTGAAAGATTCTGTCAAAACAGGAAGAGTCTGAGTCAGAACTTTCAGGTATGAATGCTTTGCATACATGGGTAAGTGGGATGTAGCCTGAGTGTTAAATGTAAACTTTAGAAATGAAAGCAACATTTTGAATATATGCATAAGAGTAATCTTTACATATGGCAAAGTACTGAGTAACAGCTAGGATGGCATTCAAGAATTTATAGAGACATTATTTGCCAGTACAGAGTACATTCTTGAGAGGAAACTCTGAAACAGCATGGTCCTATTTCTAAAACTATAGTCACTGAATGCTTCCTGCAAAACATGATGAAAGGAGACTTCTAAATTCTAAAAAAACCCCACAGAGTCAGTAAATTTGTTGTATTTTAGTAAATGTATGCTTGAAAACTCTTAAGCTGTCATCTTGGTTTCTGTGTGAGTTTGATTGCTTACAGCCTCTGTTTTGAGGGGTCTTTCCTCTTGGTGAATCCCAGTGCTTGACAGATTAAATACCAATAATTTTGCGACACAGAATAGGAATTGTTTTAAAGACTGCTTGTGATAAATTTTACCTCCGCAGGTTGGACATGGCACTGTGACCAGTCCAGGTGACAGGAAGAGAGTAAGGGAGCGAGCCTCTTCTCTCTCCCCTCATCGGTGCAGTATGGGGCAGGACGGGATGTGTTCCTAAGATGGACACTGACTCCTCCTGCTCTCTAAAGTGCTGGCATAACCTCTCACCTCAACATTGTATGGGAGAAGGAGATAGGCAAGTCTGAAAGCCTGAAGACTTTCACTTAACAGACTTGAATCTGTTAATTCCTTTAGATTCTTAGTTTCCAAAATGAGACTGTAGATTGTTTTTCACCCCTTTTCACCAATCTGTTTGTTCCTAAAGTAAGTGTAAATGATAGAAGCACACAGAGATGCCTTCACACTGCGTAACAAGGCTGAAAAATAAATGCCAATTCAGAATTGGGCTTTTCTGCTATTTCTTTGTACTTAATTTTAAACTTTTTTTTTAGCATTCCAGTTGTTTTCTCTTTATTTTCCCTCTGCATGTACTTTCACTTTTTTCCTGCACTTATATGGCTATTATGAGATGTCATGACTTCTTGCCAAATTAGTAATTGAGGTATTTCCTTTGTGCTCTTACAGTCTGTTTCATCAATACATTTTGTGCTCTCCCTTCTTTTTATTTTTTTTTTTTTTTTCTTTCCTTGGGCACTGTAAAACTATCTGATATGCTTCATTTCTACCTCTTCCCCTATTTATACTGTGTCTATTTTTATGAGGTTGAGTATTAACACAGAAACAGTGTTTAAAGTTGTCACTGCTGTGGTTTCCAGCTCTGTATAACTTCAGAAGAAACCAACATGTTCTGGAAGGGAAATAGGTGAAAAGAGCTGCCAAGGAAAACATTTGGATTAATTGGAAATGCCTGTCAGTTTCAGGCAACTCTCAGAAATGTAAATGCCTCTGGTACAAATTGAGTATGAGCACCAGTAGACAAACATCTTACAGGGATGTATAAACAAGGGTATAGCTTGTAGGATATATGAAGTAATCCTTCCATTCTGTGCAGCATTGGTAAGACCTCAACAGGAAAACTGTGTCCAGTATTAGCACTGCATTTTGAGGAGGAGGGTCAACTGGAGAAAATCCAGAGGAAAGCAATTGGAATCATAAGACGGAAAAGAATCATGACCTGTAAGAAAAAATTGTATGGGGGTTGTTTAGTCTAGAGAAGAGCAGACTGATAAAAATCTTAAAATACATCAAAGGCAGCATCTGGGCAGAAAGAATGGTACCCCTTGTCCACGGAGAGTAGGACAACAGGGAATGGTCTTCAACAAAGGAAGTTTAGGTTGAGCATCACAAGAAAGGTTTGATGGTAGGATTAGTGATCTCGATAATGAAGGAGTGGAACAGATTGCCAGAGGTGATAAGGAATTTATCTAATAGGAAGCTCTTTAAATCATGTTAGGTATACATTTTTCAGGTATGACCCGGGTATAACTGACCTGCCTTAGAACAGGTGCATGGTCTGGACAGACCCTTGAAATTCCTTCCAGTCTTGTCTACAGTGTTTGCTTATTAGAGCTATCACCTTCCTCACTTGTGGAAGGGAGAATTTTATGTTTTTCTATCTCCACTATATGCACTTTTCCTAACTTGTGAAGCACTGTTTCCCAGTCTGCTTCCTAAACAAGGCACAAACTAGGAGTTCTCTATTTAACTAAGCAGATTTGCAGTTTACATTGCAAACAGCAGCATGTTTTGTTGTTTGTTGCATTTGGGGTTTTTTTGCAAACAACATGAGAAAACAACAGCTGTGTTACATTTTTATTAGTAAATAAAATGCTCTGGAGCAAATGGCACTGCATAGCTCAGATGTGTACACAGCTAAACTCTTCCAAAACCCTCCTCTCTCCCCCACTTCAGAAAAACCACCAAAAACTGAAAATCAGTCTGGTTTTATCCACTGTCTATTAGAAACAGCCCTAGCCTCTGCTGTTCCCCACAGCTAGCCCAGGTGTTGCCTGACAAGAGTTGCAGTTGGCATGGGTCAGTGTTGTATTGAGAAGCATGCAAACCAGAACACTTGGCGTAATTGTGAGATGGTGCTTGAACCCTTGTCCTGGACCTGCTTAGTTTACCAATCTGGGCATAATCCCAGAAACTAGTGTGTGTTATTCTGTTCCTTCAAGAAGAATCAATTTCATTAGACAAATTCAAGTAATTGATTTACAAATGTTACTGTCTGTAATAGTAATTATGTTACCAGACACCTGTTTTTTCCTTCTACCTTGACAGAGTTTAGGAGTGGAGACTGTACATCCTCCATCTCCCAAAGCGTCCAACAATGAATTTAGCTTTACAGTTGGTTTTAAAGATTTAAACGGTAAGTAGCTAAATGGACTCTTTCATGCTTTTTATGCTTATTTAAAATACCTCATAGCAACAAATGAGAAGAAAAACTTCAAACACCCTTCATCAAAAAAAAACCCCAAACCAAACAAAAAACCCTGTTTTGCTGGAGGGGGAGGTATATTTGTGTGTCTCAATTTAGGAAACTTCAAAGGGGCCAATTTTTTTTTAAAGGGACATAGCTCAGTCTCATGTAGACTGACTTTAAAAAGTCAGGCTTTTGAAAATGTGTGAATGTAGAGAAAAACAAAAATGAGAGGTCTCCCAAATGACTTTCTAAAATGTAACTTTTTTTTATGTAAAGATTTAACTTAATAGAAGATAAAGTTCCTCAGTGTGAGGTCAGAGCTGCATAAGCATTTTTTTCCAGTGGAAGTATTGGCTTCAACTGCTTCCACTTTGCATTGCTTATTCTCATTCTGGTTTGCACTGCCACTTTTGCATGTACAGCTGCTTGTTGAGGCTGTGTGACAAACCAAATGAGAGAATTTATCCAGGTTTAAAAAAAGAACCCTCCCTCTGGTTTTGTTGGTGGTTTTATTTTTCTTTTTACTGAGGGCTGTTGTTTGCATTTGCCTGAGTTGGTTTTAGCCTGGATTTTTGTCCCAGAATCAGTTCACTATTAAGCTGCCTGATTCCTCTAACAGCAAAGTGGGTCGACGTATGTAAACAGAGTGGATCATGAGCCAACCTTCCCACTTAAAAAAAAAACCTTATGAAAAAACTCTATTAGCATAGCAGATAAAGCAGAGTAAACTGAGATGGTCTAGTGACATGTTCACACTTAGTCTGCTGAATGATCTGTTCTTTGTTGGACTATATTAGCATTTTTGAGTATCTAGTTCAGCACTCTGTCCCTTTCCAAAATTCCACTTCAAGCTTTCCCAATTTGTGATTATTTTTTTTAACTAAACTCTTAAAAGAGTTTAAACCACTGAATCTGTTGTTCTTAAAGAACTCTTCTCTTCTAGAAAGCTAAATCGTCCTATGGGATGTTATTCCACAGGATCTTTTATACCATGGCTAGTTGAAACAACCGAAGAAGAAATTGCATATGAAGTTCCAGTATAGGAACTTATACTCTGACAGAGTAGAAGATAGAAAGCAAAAGTTACAGTGTTTCTATCTGGTTGATAAGATACTTTTGAAAAGAGACTGTCTTGTTTGTTCTTTGCTTAAAGGATCCTCAAAACAATGCATATTACGTGAGGTGTGTCACAGATGTTGATCACACAATTACTGAAGTGCTACAAGTGATACCATACAGTTTCTTGTGTCTTAGAACTCCCTGATTCTGCTTCATGTTAATTTTAGAGTTGTAGAATAGTAGTATTATATGAAGGTATTGTTGATCTAGGCCTCAGTTACACAGCTTGTTGTTTGTGTGCTATACCAAAACTTGCTGAGCATTTATGCATGTACTTAAGTAAGTAACCTAATGGGAGCTAATGGAATCTCTTGCATCCATATCCCTAAGCCCCGGAAACCTTGCAGGATCAGGGCCAGGTTTCATAACATCGTAAATGTCTGAGACTGTATCACTGGAAGTGAAGCTTCCTGTCCTGTTTAATTTGTATTCCTAGAGTTCCTTGTACTCTGAACTTCAGTGTGACCAGATTAATGGCTATTCCTAAAACAGGTTTGTTTTCTTGAAGCCATTTAAAATGTTGTTTCCTTTCCTATAACCCTTATATCGTAGAGTAACCATGTCTTCTGAAATTTAATCTCCACTCATAGTTTTGCATTGCACTCACTCTGATACATTTTGTGGTTTTCTTTACAGAATCCCTAAGTGCCCTAGAGGACAAAGACCTGGATGCTTTAATGGCTGATCTTGTAGCAGACATAAATGATGTTGAACAGAGAACTTTACAGGCCCAGAAAACTTCTTCTGACAACCAGCAAAGTGTTGTTACTCAGCCTTCAACAGGCTTGGATAGTGACATTTATTCTAAAGCAAGTCCCTATGTTAACATTACCGGACATTTTGGGGATGACTTGCCTCCCCCGCCTCCAGACCCTGATTTAGACCTTCCACCACCACCACCACCACCTCCTTCTGAGCCACTGACCCAGGTAAGCCTGGGTGGAACCTTGTTCTAAGTGTTCAGTAGTTCTTGTAATTTTGCAAGTGGTATTTGGCACTGGAATAACAGCGGATATCCCAGGTAGAAACATCTTGGGAAGGTTCTGCAATGATGAAACATGCATGAACTGCAGGAGACTTTTTTGTTATTGTGTGCTCAGCAGTTTCTGCCTGTTCTTTGACCTATTGCCCATTCCTTCGCCTTTCTGTTTATCATTTTGATAGCCCAAGACAGGCATAAATCATTGCAAATGGTTTACTGTAATGGAAAACTTGTCACTGAGTTTTTTTAATGAGTGCTGATCAGTTAATACCTTCTCATAGAGAACTTGGCTTTGGCATCAGTGAAAGCATGGCCAAAGATACCACCATTTTGTTAAGATGTCGCTGTGTTTCTTCATTGCAGTCTGTGCATTGGACCTTTCAATGCTGTTTGAAAGTTGTAAGCAAGTGGGAGGAATTTCTCAGTTTTTCTGTATCTCAAAGATAATAGTTAAGTTCCTGTCTTAAAGGAATATCAACATTTGCAAAAACAGCAGCTAGACAGCTTCAGAAGCTAAGTCTTTTATTTAACTAATATAATTGATACAGAAGTGATGCTATCAAGATGAGTTCTATCCATTGTCCTACAAACATGTCCCCATCTTGGTTTAGACCTTTAAGAAAATACCAAGCTTCTAAGTAGTCTGGTTTGGAAGCTGAGGAAATACGGTCTGGAAGGGTAGCTGATCAGGTAGGCTGAGATTGGTCAAACTACCAGAGTCAAGGGGGAGTCATCAATTGTTTGCTGGCTGGTAACAAGTGGGATCAACACTGGGGCTTGTATTTTTGTATCTTTACGTTTTCATCTGTGACCTGAATGGTTACATAAAAAAATAATCTGCAGATTTGCTTAATTAAGGGCACTGACTGACAAGATGAATGGCAGAACTTCAGTGTAGGGGCACCTTGAGAAACATGACTGGGCCAGTAAAACCCTCAGAAACCCAGCAGGGTACAAGGTCCTGCATCTGGGGTGGAATAACCACATGCATTTGTACAGTTTGGGAGGCGACAGGCTGAGCAGCAGACCTCCTGAAAAGGAGGTGGCATCCTGGAGGATGACACATTAAATAAGAACCATGAGTGCAAGGCTATCTCAGTATGGGAAACCGGCCTGCGTTTGGAGGAGCATGGCCAGGAGACTGAGGGAGTCATTATTCCCTTCTCTTGGTACTGGTGAGGCCACACCTGGAATACTGCACCCCGTTCTGGATGTGGCGATACTGGAGAGTGTCCAGCAAAGTGCTACTCTAATGGCCAGGGGCATGGAATGATCAGGGGCCAGCAAGGACAGGTTGAGGGAGCTGAGCTTGTTTAGTCTGACAGAGGAGGCTGGGGAGTGTTTTACTGTCAGCCTAAAAATACCTGAAGGATAGCTAGAAAACTGGTAGAGCCAAATTCTTCCATGGTAGGGTTAGTTCGTATAACAAGGGGAACAGCTACATGTTGTAGCTTTGTAGTTTTGGACAGGCCATTAGGAGAACCTTTTCCATTTCAGGCAGGGGTGTAGCAGTGGAACAGGTCAACCAGAGAGATCACAGATTCTCTTTCTTTGGAGGTTTTCCAAACTTTGCCAGGCAAAATTATGGCTGACCTGATGTAGTGTTGGTGACAGTCCTGCTTTGGGGCAGGGAGACAGAAGGTGGACCTACAGACGTCTCTTCCAACCAGTGCTTTTATGATGCTGTGATCTAAAGCTCACTGAAATCAACAGTGCTGCACAGTTCTTTCCTGTGAGTCTTGTACTGAGCTAATTCTGTGTTAGCTGGCATCCTGCATTACCTGAGAGTCAAACAAGATTTCAGAGTGAAAAGAGGATATAGTTGCTAAACACAACCAGAATTCTAGATGCAAAAACGTAGCTGGAAGTCACTTCTGTCTCCCTCAATTAAAGAGTTCCTCTGAGGTTGTGTGCCAAGTTAAATCTCTAGCAGTGTTTTCTGGTCTCTTTCCAGATACAGGGAAAGGGCGAAGAAGGATGGGAACAGAATGTAGAGACATTTCTAAGAAATCTGTCTGCCACATTGAGGCACTGGTTCTGCTTTCTCCCACAGCGCTTGCCTCATTTTCTGATACAGATTGTATTCAAATACTGATATCGTACCCATTGTGTGGCTTACTGTCCACAAAATTGCCTATAGGGCTATTACACAAGTTGCTGTGTGAATGATGGAGGTAGTAAACATTTAAAATTAATATGGAAAGAACTGATTTCAAATGAGTATTTACTGTCTTGGTTAGTATTTCCTTTGACATGACATTCCTGGTCAGTAGAATGAAATGCAGCTGTAAATGGAATGTATTTTGTTTCATCAAAATCCACGTTCCTGTTAGCCAAGAGTCTTGATATGTCATTCTTGAGCCAATCAAGGCTGACATTTTATTTAATACTTTTGGTTGTCTGTAGTCAAATAAGAATAGTGTTAATTATTCCCAATGCACCTGTGATACTAAGACTCTATTCTCTTTAAGTGTGACAAAATTAAGAAGTACAGCCTTTCTTTCAGGGAAGCATAGAGCTGTCTCATAAGTTCCTGTCAACTCTGACAGTTCTTTTGAAAACTGTGCTTAAGCTAATAAGGCTTCTACATTTTCTGTTACATTATCAGCATGACTTTTATGTGCTTCTGTTTGAAGATACAGAAAACATGGTGACGACACTCTAGTGGAAAAACAAATCTTTTAGCCTGTCGCGTCATTTCTTTAAAAATGCTAAAATTTTGCATCTGATAGCTTATTTACTTTGCATCATTTCCTTTTTCTACATTAAGACAGACAAACGTCGTGAAAACATGAAGGCTCTCAGGTGAGAGCTTTGTTGCACAGATTTGTATAATGTGTGAACTCTGTTTAACACAGGATGCATGCAGGTGAAGCCTGAGTTACACCTGCCTAAAATTTTCAGAAGAAAGCCTGCCTGTACCACACTCAACCTCTTTGTTTAAGATGCTTTTCCTGCTTCCTGCGAAGAGGTGTTTTGAGGTGGTAAGGGTAGGTCATAGTGTGAGAGGCTGTGTGCTCTGTAGAACAGCCAGCCTTATGGCGAAAGCCACTTCTGTCCAGCAGCTTCTGTTCAGCTACAGAAGCTATCTTTGGATTCTCAAAGTTAAGTGTCTCTGAGTTGTAGCAAAGCAAATTTCCGTACCTGTGGAGAAAAAAAAAAAGACATTTTTAAACTGATTGCCTGCTATTTATAGTGGAAAATTTGACAATGGCAAACATGCTTGAAGCCAACTCCGTCAGGTTGTACACCTCACCTTGTGTTTTTGAAGTCCTAAACGATGCTAGTATCCAGGGGAAACAGTGATAAAACCAAAGATGTTTAGTTCAGCGAGAGGATGTCAGTCAGGAGTACTTTAGTTACAGTTGAACCTGTCTCAAAGCTTGGGATGAATAAGATAACCGTCTTGGCTCTTTTTTTGCTATGATTCTGTGATATCTCTGTAAGAAGGAAGCGGTGCCAGTAGTTAGGCCTGGTTTCTTGTGAGTGCGTCTCCAATAAGTTAACCATCCTGGGTTTTTCTTAGTCTGAAGACCACTAAAATTATGACCTTAGGGTAGAAAATGGAGGCTGAAGGTAACAGAGAGGAAAATCTTGTGTGGAAGCAGGGCAGGAGCTTTCTCCCACAGTCATTGACTGGGAGTTGGTGTGCCTGTGAGTACCGTAGCACAAAATCCTACCCCTTTAAAACAAAGGAAACTGTGAGAGTGAGAGAGGGTGACAGGGACAGTAAAAATCAGCAAAGAGGCAGGAAAGCAAAGACAAAACAGTTTTCAATAGAGGGAGTGGGGATTTAAAGTTGGAAAGAAACCCAACCCTCCAGTAGTAGTAACAGTCCAAGCCAGAACCAGGAACCACAGTTACTTGCTGTCCAAAATGTACTTTTCCAGCTCTGTGTGTGACTGGGGGAGACTGCAGGAAGATAGATGGCAAAAAGAAATGTTCATAATCTGTATACCAGTCACAGAGGCAACAGTAGGTACTGGCATCTGGTACATGTACCTAAAACTCTCAGCAGCTGGGGACCCAGAGCCTTCTTGGATCACAGACCTCACTGATATTAAGAGAGAGGCATGATATTGATAGAGCTGCTTTGTAAAAGAGCCAGGTATACTGGCTGAGACTTTTAGGAATCTTACTGTCGCAATCAGCAAAAGGTGGAATGAACTTGAGTGGTCTAACTGTGTCTATGTTAATATGAATAGGTGTCTATGTTAATATGAATAGGTCCAATTTAAGGAGGCGTTCCTCTCGTTATCTCTGTGTGCGGTAAGAGCTCATATGTGGCAAGCGAAAGAACCCAGGTAAATTAACGTACTTAACAGAAAGTGTAAAATTATAAATGGTATAATTGCAAGCCAAGTTTTCAGTAGGACCCTAAAAACTCTAGTTCTCTTAACCCTATTGAGAGGTGAGTTTTCTTCCAAGTGGCTGCATCCACAGTGCTGTTTCATTCAGGCTAGATCTTCCCTCATTGCCTCTTTTGTATCAGCTGTAACACATATGGATACATAGAAGAGACCATTTTTCAGGAATTCGTGTAGCACTTGAGGAACAGATCATGTAAGAGCTGTGTGACTGGGCAACAAAAGGAAGTACTGGACTTGTAAATCAAAGCTTTGGCTGAAGAATATTATCGCAAGGAAAGCTAGGGATTCCCTGTAACTATGAAGTTTCCTATGACGAGCTTTATGTTCTGGATATAAATAGCAAGGAACAACTCTTTTCAAGTAAACATAAATTGCTGGCCTTACTTAAGAAGTGTACCAAATATCTTGTGTCTTTTCAGGAAGAACGAGAGGCACAGGCTAAAGCTGACAAGATTAAACTTGCATTGAAGAAACTGAAGGAAGCCAAAGTTAAAAAGGTGAGCCTTAAAATAGTGAAATGGTACCATAAGGGCTACCACCTAAGTATCTATTATCATTCTTCTAATAAAATTCTTACTAAAATCACTAGGCTTTTTCATATTTTGTCTGTAACTTGAGACATCTAAAGATATTCTGTGGAGCTGTCTTGTCATCCTGAAGAGAATTCTCTGGGAGAATGCTAGCTCTGACAGACTTATTTTTAAGAGGACTTGGAAGACTCTGCCTATTTTTCTTTCCGGTGTTGGAACAAAGCCCACTGTTCTGATAGGTTGCTTTAGAGAAAGTGGAATGAACATAAAAAATGTTGATTACTTATGCTATGCGGATTCCAGAAGTATTAAACTTTTCTTCTACAGTGGATGTGGATTTAGCTAATCACAATTAAATTAATGAGGGTGTTCTTGCTAAATCCTTTCACAGCAATGTAGTAATGTACAAGGATAATAGAAATTATTTTAGACCAACAAATTAGAAAGCTTCCAGCCAGTATCTGCACAGTACTGCGGTATGCCATGTAGTTGTACCCACTCATGCTAAGCGAGTGTTCCAGCTGAACTCAACAGAAGCAGCAGACGTTCAGTAACTCTGAAAAATGGATTCGAAGAAAAAACGGTCATGACCTTTCAGTCATGACCTTTCAGTGCTCAAATAGGAGATAGGACGTGTTGGAGAGCAGAGCCCACAGGGCTTCCAAGAAGAATTGAAGCTTCCAATAAGTTTGAGAGTGTCCAGGCTTGAGATGGTTCCCACAGAACATGTCGTGTTCATGTAGCAATGCTACTTCTGAGAGAATGTGTTGGGAGGATTTCACCAATGTTGTCTTGGGAAGGCTCTATAACTGAACTTATGACTGCTCATTGGTCACCCACTTTCCCTTGCAGTGTTAGCAATTCTCCTTTGGGAGGAAACATTTGTTTTGGAGACTTTTTTTTTCACTTTTTTTCCCCCACCCTGAATATTTGGAACCATAGGGTAGAAGTAAGGTTTAATCTTCTTGTAGCTATGTCACTATAATGCAATTACTATGTCATTCTTGAATTATAAGTTGACTAAATAATTGTCAAGAAAACTGGTCTTCTCTCTTTTACTGAAAGTGAAGGGCAGAAGCCCGGGAGGACAGTGAAAAGCAAGCTCACGGCCCTGGACTTCAGGAGAGCAGACTTTGGTGTCTTCAAAGATCTGCTTGGAAGACTCCCATGGGATAAGGCCCTGGAGGGAAGAGGGGCCCAAGAAAGCTGGTTAATAGTCAAGCATCCCCTCCTCCAAGCACAAGAGAGTTCCATCCAATGAATGAAGGGCCATGAAGATGATTAAGGAACTAGAGCATCTCTCCTATGAGGAAAGGCTGAGACAGCTGAGACAGTGTAGCCTAGAGAAGAGAAGGCTCCGGGAGGATCTTGTCAATCTGTAGAAATACCTGAGTGGAGGGTGCAAAGAGGGTGGACCAGGCTTTTTTCAGTGGTGCCCAGCAACAGGACCAGAGGCAGTGGGCACAGACTGAAACAAAGGAGGTTCCCTCTGAACGTGAGGAAACACTTTTTCACTGTGAGGGTGACTGAGCGCTGGCACAGGTGTCACAGGGAGGTTGTAGAGTCAGCCTCCTTGGAGATGCTCAGAAGCCATCTGTCCTGGACAATGGGCTCTAGGTGGCCTTGCTCGAGCAGGGATTTGGACCAGATGACCTCCAGAGGTGCCTTCCAGTCTCAACCATTCTGTGATTCTGTGAAGATGGAAGCTGCATAGGTGTTTCTGAGCAGTCAGCTACAACCAGAGCAAAATACCCTTTTTTCCCCAGACGTTGTATTTTATGCATGTACATTTCTTTTTCTCTATAATGTGCACTACAGTGCTTATTTCAGAGAGGAAGATGCTTACAAGGGTTGGAATCAAAACAAGTTCACATTTTTTGTTACATTTGCTTTTACTTTTCAGAGATAGTGTAGATTTTCTCTTGGGGGTCATCACTCTCTGCTTCTACCTGATCTTTAACAGAGATTGTCTCTATTGTACAAAAGTTTCTTATGCACACATTTTAAAATAAGGAGCTATTTAAATGAGACTATATGACAAAGTCCTCCCAACTCACCAGTTTAGTTCCAGTTCATTTTTTCTTCTGTTTTTAGTACTAATGGAGCATCTTAAGTACTTTCCTTATAGCAGTTCTTTATCACGTTTTATCACATTTACAGTTCTTTATCACATTTTATGTACTTCATCATTTTCTTGCATTGTTCCTCTCTGAAAAAAAAGTGCACACTGTTTCTCATTTAACAAATACTTCACAATTTGAAGAAATAATGAGTGTCTTAGGCTAATATGGTCAATATAAGTAACTCAATCTGATTTCAGGTAGTCTGTTTGCATGGCAAGACTCTTCCATTCTTTTTCTCATTTAAAACCAGACTCTGCGTTTCTAGCTTGCATTAAGGACACTCTGTCCTTTTGTACTTGGTTTCCCTATCAAGCATTTTCCTTAATTACACATCTAGTAGATTTAGAGAAGAGATTAACTTCTGCTTTTTCTTCATAGCAATTTCACTTTTCCTGAAGTCATGTAAAAGACAAGCTTCAATTTCCTTTTTTGAGAAAAGGTCTTTATTGTGGTGGCAATATAATGTGAAAGCTTCCAAGCTGTTTTATCCCCTCAGCTCACTGTGGGACATCATGCCTTTGAATCAGTAATAACCTTCAGCCTTAATCTTTCTTATCTGTATTAGCAGATTCAGACTAGCCTTTTGCTTGCTTCTGAAATTAACTGACTCTTCTGTGACTCTCTACTCAGCTTGTTATCAAGGTGCACATGTACGATAACAGCACAAAGTCACTAATGGTGGATGAGCGTCAGGTGACACGGGATGTTTTAGACAATCTCTTTGAGAAAACGCATTGTGACTGCAACGTCGACTGGTGTCTGTATGAAATGTACCCAGAGCTGCAAATTGGTAAGTGGTGTAGTGACAGAGCATAAAGCAAATAGATATAGTGTATCTTGTGCAATTGGTAATCTTGAAAAGAGAATTAATAACACTTCTGCCCATGTGACCACTGGTGTTGGAACATCGCAGTCTCTAAGCTGAGGGATGCTGTAGGAATGTGCTTGGGCTGTTCCTGATGCAGAAGTGAGCCTTCCGTACATCTGTGCTGTGAGCTGCAGAAGTCTCCTTGCCCACCACCATTTCCATTATTCTGTTTTACACAAAATGAAGGGGCCATATGAATTTCACTATGTTTGTCAAGGCAGTGACAGAATCAAACATACCAGTATTCAACTCTGCTCTTTGAAGAGACGATGCAGTGCTGAAGTGCTGTCAGCAGGCTGTTACATGCTGGCCAAACAAATGTTGTAATTAAACAAGACTGTCTGAGAAGCGTTTCAGTCGTTTCTAATGCTTTTCAGTTGTGATGGTCGTTTTCATAAGTGTAGTTGTGAACAAGATATTGCTCTCTGACGGGGCTGCAGCTCTACTGGTGGTACTTTATGACTTAGGAAGTAACTAACCTGGCCTCCGGGTCCCTAGGAAACAGCTGTGCAAAACTTACATATTTTTTTGGTTCAACTTACTGAGTTTTGTTTCAAAAAGTCTTCAAGGCCTCATTAAGAATGGAGTATTCTCTGAGTTATTTCAGAATCTTTTCATTGTCCAGGCTGAAAAGGTATTCACACAAAAAGGAAAAGGAAAATTGCCACAGCTTTCTTCTGGGGTTTCGTTTGACCTAGTGTCAAATGGGAAACTGTCAAACAGCCTTTAGCATTCTCAGTTTATAGGCTCCCAGCAGAGATGTAAAAATGCACAAAGAAAGTTAAATATCAATATTGTACTTTAAAAGAGCCCCAGGAATAATCATCCTGCTAAACTAAAACAAATTTTTAAATAGCTAGAGAAAGCCTGACTGCTCATTAGCAGGGAGATCATAAGAATTGTCTGATTATAAGAATGGCAGAAACTTTAACTGCCAATCTGTTCTTCCTGCTCCATTAAGATGATACATGAAGCAACATTGCTGCATTCTTTTGTACCTGCTTATCTTAACTAAGGAAAGACTGGAAATGTTATTAGACCCTAGAAATGACACAAATGTCACTTTGAATAATTTTAGAGCATTTTCTTGTCTTGGAAAGTTGTTCCCTCTGACTTAGTGTGACTTGGACAAACGTTGGGATGACAGCATATAAACAGATTGTTTTCTGAATCCCCATAATCATTAAAAAGTATGTATTTGTGTTTCTTCATAATCTGGATAGACATTTTCATTTTCCTCATCACAGAATTAAGACTGAAGGCATCAGGGGGATCGTACGCTACAAACATTAGGGTTAATGGTTAGACTTTTTTGTAAGTAAAAATTACTTGTGTTACCTTAGTATCAGCTAATGCTAGATGCTTTACATTAGGGTTAGGGTATTGGTATAGTAAGGAATTACTCTGATAATCAATAAAAACTATATCAAAAGCAAGGACAGAAGAAGAGTAAGAAAGGAAATAAAGTAGTTGGTTCAGGAAAAAAGGAAAAGTCTATGAACTCCTGATGCAGAGGTCTATCATCAAGTCCAAGTCAGCTGGGAATAGAGCCTTTTTGTTTGCAGAAGGGAATTTTGATATGGATGGAATGGTACATATTCTTTGTTCTGCTTCCAGTGCACAGCAACATGCTGTTAATTTTGTTCAAAATCAAAACAACATGAACTATTCTTTATTCTTGTCAGTATACTTCTTGGCACTTCTAGATAGCTCTATTACTCTCAGCATGCTTAGAAGACAGGCTTTCCTGCCCTTTCCCTTTCTGCCTGCTTTCCGTGTTAATATTCAAGAGAATAAAATTACATTTACTTTAAGAAGCAAATCTGAGCAGCAAATATTTAAGGCTGAACTGAAAGTCCAAGCTAGTTTTAGATCAGAAGAACCTTGACTGAGTATCTTATATATACTGCTATTTTGAAAGATGATCATTGCAAATAAAAAAAGCAACAGTTTTAGATTAATTGCATATGAAATGTCACAAATAATCTCAGTAGTGAGATGGTGATATAACACCAGGCTGTACATACCATCATGTCTTCCGCAACAAGGAGTATTGCCTTATATAATAGGCATCCAAACTGGACAGTTTTGTAACAATAATTATAAAAAAGACCCTCCTGAGAATGGCAAGGTCATACCTTTTATACAAGAAAAGCCCGGTACTGTAAATGAACAAACAAAAGTATATGTGGCAAAAATTAGTGTTAAATAACTAGTGTTACAACCTTAGAATTATTTTACAGCTATCCTGGACCATAAGATACTGGTTACCCTTCAGACTATTTCTTGGGTATTATATCGTGCTTTGTATTTCCAGTGCATTGCAGAAGTGTCAGTTGCTAAATGAGAAGTGTTATGTTGCTTGTGTTGTTAAAAGTTACTGTGTACATGTGAACTGGCCCTGAAGCTAATCTCATTTTACGAATTTAATTAGTTCACAAAATTTAGTTTTGATGGGAAATACTGAACCCTTGTCAAAAGTAAGAAGAAGTGTTAAAGAAAGCCTACAAATTGTATGCCCTGTTATCTCCTCTTGTACTAGGCCAACTTAGGCCATTGAAAGATGTGATCACCACAGACCACGGAAATGGGAGTACAGTTGTTCCCAGGGAACTGCCAAAATTGTACTGAAATTACCTGTCAAATTCTGCTCAATTCCTTTTCCTTCCAAATGGGGTTTATGTTCTTGTTCAGCTATACAAGTGAAACTGCAGAAGAAGAGATAGGAGTTACCTAACCTCAGCATACCCTGTGGCTTTCCTGGGTGGAGTATCTGGGTTCAGATTGGCTCAGGAAGGGAGACAACTGACACCAGGTCTCCTATATCTCTGGTGAGGTTTTTAACTACCGAGATGCTGGGTGAAGCAGTGTATCTTCACATCAGTTCTCAGTGTGTTTTATAATTTCCTCTGTTTTGCTATTTCTGTTTTTAATACAGTTGCTTGAAATGAAACATTTTATTTTCAGTGCATGGAATTAATCCTGCTGACAAAAAGCAATTTTTCATTTGTTCCAATAAGTAAAAAGAAAAGGAAATAAGTTTTTGCTATTTTTTTTCAGTTCAGTAATCACCGTGAACATATAACCCCCCTATCATACTTAAAAAACAAAAGCAAATGAAAGCAGAAAGCTGTTGGGAGACATGGTTATAAACCATCTTCTCCTAGTGGGTCACTGTTTCCATCCTGTGCAGTCTTGGCAACAGCGCAGAGATGCATGAGGAATCCAGGAGCATGCCAGAGCTACATAAGGCATCTTCTGTCGCTGATTTGCCCTTACACATGACACTGTTTTCGTGTGGTTTTGGTCACTTCTGTGCAGTGGAAAAGAATGCTGGGCTGTCCAGCTCTGAGCGAAGAACAGATAATGATTACATTCTTACACAGGAATTTCTGCAGCCTCAGGAGAGGGGAGAGAGAGTTTGAGTGTCTTACATTACTTTTTCCATCTTTCCAGAAAGGTTTTTTGAAGACCATGAAAATGTTGTTGAAGTGTTATCAGACTGGACTCGAGACACTGAGAATAAGATTCTGTTTTTGGAAAAAAGTGAAAAATATGCTTTGTTTAAAAATCCCCAGGTAAGCTAACATAGTATTTGGATAAGAGCCTACAATTATGTCATTTAGTCTGTATGCTGCCTATTGCATTATTAATTTGCTTTCAGCTCTGTCAGTTTAGAAATAGAGAAAGCGAAGCTTGTACGTTAAAAAAAAAAAAAAAGACCCCAGAATGTTGAATGCAAGGATTTGAAAATTAGTGCTTTCTATTTTTTTCTGATACTATTTTAAAGTCCTGTCTGCAGTGGTAAAAAAATGAAGCATGTAGTTCTCCGCTGGTACAAGCTGTTGCTTAGGCACAGCTTTTAGGACTGTGGTGAGGTGGCACAGCTATAAAAACCTGGCCTTTGTCATTGCTACAGTTTCTCCACTATTTCTGATGATGAAAATCAACATTTCCTTGAAGGTCCATTTTTTTGCCAGTTCTATGTGAAACTTCATAAAGAGTATGCTGAGTACTAAAGGGAGTTTATCTGAATTTCATTTAGACTGGGGACAAGAATTGGGTGAACAGTAACTTGTGCACACTATCTTTGTAAAAAGAGGGTCTTCACACTGAATGGCATCAAATTATTCAGGATAGGTGCATACACAAATCATTTATTTCTTGTGATATGTGGCCAAAACTGTATTTACAAACACCATAGCACATACAGTTGATGGATTCTGGGGCACTAGATCTTTTCCCCTTGTCTGCGGTCTGTTAGCTCACTGAGCATCTGGTTTGTTCCTGAGGGCAGCATGAGAAAAGTGAGCAATTCAGCATTGCTGAAAAAATGAGTCAAATATATAATTTGGCAGCAAATCTCACCAAGCCGTTCATTAGGAAGTTTTTTTTTAGAATGAGCCAGTGTTTCAAATAATACCTGCAGAGAGGAAGTTTCCTTCATTGACATAACAAGTATACACAGTCAGGTAAAGAAAACTTATCCTGCAGTGTGTACACATGGATTGGTGTTGATTTTTAATACGAAACAGCAAAGCCAAGTTTGGAAGTAAAACATACATGAGGGCTCAAGATGTCATACTTTCTAATACACATAAACATACCTAGCAGCGGAGGTTTGATTGTACATTTGATGCGTGCTCTAGTGGTGTTATTTGGGCAAGTGGCTTAGGGCAAGGCTGTGAACCTCCCATAGGAAGTAAATCTTTGATGAAGGTTTTGTGCATTTTGATTGCAACAAACTTTAGAAATAAACATGACCTAAACCAAAACCAGAGTAAGAGTGTAGCTCTGTCTTCCCAACTCAGGACACGCTGAGCTTGATTTGGATGTGTCTGCGGTCCTTGAGCTTTCACTCCTCTGTGATAAGCTCTAAAATGAACAGCCTAAGGAAACTGGATCAGTTGCGGCTATCACACTATTGAAATATTTTGCCAGTAATAAAGTCTAACCATCTGTCAGGCTTAGTAATTTCAAACATTGTGAGACAACCAGAATAGTACAGTTATATCAGCCGTTTGTCTTTTTGGCAGAAAATAATTAGTATTGTACAGACAGAGCTCACACTAGATGAAACGTGGTAAAATACATGATCTGGAGTGAGTCCCTGGCAAGGTAAACAATGCAGAAATGCTGAATTGGTGGGGAGCGGGGTGTATAATTACCTAATTACTTACAGAAATTACATTGTAACCAATGGGAAGCTGAAATCCAGTGCTCTGATACTGTATTCTCAGTATATTCAGCCTCCTCCTCCTAGCTCAGTCAAGGTTGCCTCATAAACTCATTTTGTGAGTACAGAGATTGCAGAAAGCTTTTTTTTTTTTTTTTTTTTTTTTTTTAACACAGCCAGTGGTGGTAATGCAGCAGCAGTTGGATTCTTTGTTGGTCTTATTTAGTGCTCATCCTGTTGGAGGTTGTGTGTGGAGATCTCGCAGTTTTGTAACTTGCAGATATTCTTCTGTAAAAAAAAGAGGCAAATTTCAAAGGTGGCCAGGTACCTACAATTCATTCGTCAACAAATTTGTGATACAAAATTTTCATTAGAGAGGTTTGAAGCAATTAAATGCTTTGAAAAAAAAAATCTTATTATAAAGATGTCCAGATGCATTGCTAAAACAAGTGGACCTCTGGAGAAGGTCTGTGACCTGTGCCGATATTCATTGTTTCTTTCTGTGAACTAGTTATATACCTGGTATAGACTAAACAACAATTAAACATGTTTCATTTTCTCAGGAGGAACTGGGGTTTGGAAATGCAAGATTTATCCTCTATGTCTTTGCTAGCAACATGCTGCTCAGCAATTTAAATTTTAGAGTATTTGGAATACATTTTAGAAAAAACATCTGCAGAATCCTGAGGTGTCCCTCTCTTCACAAAGACAGGCATAATTTCGCCCTTTCCTCTCCGTGATATAATTTACCCTGCAGGAGACTCACAGTAAAGGACGATTCCATGAACTGTATTAGTGACTCATCTACAGAGATGGAGCATCACAAGTCCATGACTAAAGAGTGAACCAAAAATACCTATTGGTACATGTGCAAATAAAGAAAACCTTTATAACATAGGAAAGGTGATGCTTTGTCATGCGGTTGAATGATGCTGTGCTTGGCTCTTGAAAGGAAAGGCTGTCAGGTCTCAACACCTCTTTTCAAAAAGCTCAAAGTGTAATTAATTCTCAGCTAAAAGAGACCCTACAAAAACAAAAGTGTAGGAAATGCTTTTGCTTCATTTAAACAGGGTTGTTTGTAAGAGGTAGCTGAATCTAGACTCCTGACTGTAAATACCTGTCACACTCTTAGAACACTAGATTTGATTTTTGCTTACATAGATTTTGACTTCCTGTGTTTCTCTTTTCCTGATACAAGCAGACAGGATAAATTCAAACAGTGCAGGTGACACAAAGTGCATGTGGGATTTTTTGGTTTTTCTTTTTTTCTGATTTTTGGACAGTATTTATGAAAATTAATGAAAATCTATACAGTGAATACTTTATGCTTTTGCTTCCTCATATGTAAACCAAAAGCAAGAACTGTACCCTCCAATGGAGAACTCATACACTGAATTGGCATATTATTTCTTCTGAAAAGCAAGAGTACTAAACAGCATGAGAAGGACGTGGAGTAAGAAGTTGTAAGTCTTTCATAACAGGACAGCTATAGTAAGTTTTACACTTGAATATTTATTTTCAAGTCAGTGAAACTGGGCTAGTATCCACCAGGTGATACTTGTTTTTCACCGTTGTGGCCACCTTTATGAACCAAGGTTTTTCTTTTGTCTCCCCTGTTACCCAATGAAGGAAACACAGAAGGGTGGCATGGAACATGATTACTGGGTGTGCTGGCAAACACGCAAAGAAATGCAAGTGAGAAATGGGAAGTGTTTTTCACTGTACTCCCACTGTTTAGTAATCTTAATTTCTCTCTCAGTGTATCTCAGACCATGGTATAGTTTCAAGTTGAAGATGCTACTTCAGTAAATATTTTTCTGCCTTGGGACAGTAACGCAGAAACAGTCTTGACACATTTGAACCATTTGCCCGTGACTTTTAATGAGCCTATTAAGTCCTTTGCTGGTAGCTGCACCCTAGCTTATGTATGTCTTTCATTTGTTCCATGTTTCCCCCTCTTTGATGATGAAGGCCATCACCTCAAGGCATGAAAAGTCAGCTGTAGTAATTTCTTCCAACATTATAAAACTAGGTAAACAAAGTTGAAAATAATTTTTGAGGGGACTTCAAAAGAGCTTTGCCTTTATATTCATTTATTTATTTACATTTGTGATCTTCAGAGCAATTCTAGTTATCTATTAATATTTTTAACCTACATTTTTTTAGGGAACGCATAATGCTACCGGTTGCAGATGTGACCATGTTCTGTTTTATTTCTTCTGCACAGACCGTGCTGCATTCAGTACGTAGTTGCAGTGGGCTGAAATGGGGTGTGAGCCGGCCAGTTCTTGCCTCATTCCAGGTGCAGTTTGGATGAGCGTTAACAGACAGCTCATTGCACAAAGGAGATAGTCATGAGTATGGAGCAGCTGCCTTGTTTGCTGCACACTGTCTGATCTGTGCTGTTGCAGACTTTGCAGATCTTCTGGAGGAACAGTTTCAAAAGCTTGAAAGCAAAAATACAACCTAAGCAGAAGGGGAAGCAGAGGGAGGATGCTGCCTTGAACACCTGTTTTTTTTGCTATGTACTGACAAGTAGCTGCTGCATTCCGGCTTGGATGGGGCTGTGTATGAAAAAAGATGACAGGTATGAGAGAGGTGCTGTTTCATTTAGGAAAATTTTTTTACGACTGTAGAGACATGGAACACCAATCAGAAAGTTTGGCAGTGGAGTAGTTAAGGCTACTGTTTCTACCTCGATCTAGGTTTGGTTTGCTTATGTGCCACCAGAGATGTTCTTTGAAACTATTGAGAACATCCTCTGTCTTCCACTGTTCGATGATTATACAGTGGAGAGACATACAGCTTGAATTTTTTTACCTGCCTTTCCCCACAAAAAGAGATGGCTGGATCCCTAAGTGGAAAGGTTGTATACATAGACTAATGGTACTTTATAGTACAAAGCACAAAATTAACTTAAGCTGACTATAAAATTTTTACTGGATTTTCTTTTGTGCATATGGAGTTTCCTGCTAAGGTAAAGCCATGAATGGGTCATCAGCTGGTTTTGCCCCTGTCCTGCACAAGCACAGGGGAAATGCTGGTGCAATGTCTCTTAAGGATGTCATACCTGGCAATGCATGTCAAAACTGCCACTGTAGCTCTGCATTGGTTTGAGTCAGGCAGAATGGCATGGGAGAGCACCTGACTTTGTGTCAGTTTCAGCTGATCTGGGGTGTGTAGGCACAGGGAATAATTCATCAAAAATGCTCAACTGCTCACCCCTGCAGCAAATAACCCAAACATTGCAAAATGGCAAAATGTGCCAGCATACTTTGTTGTGTTTGTTAAAATAGCCCTTTATGTTTGCTTTCTGATGTTATCAGCCCGAGGATGAATCCATCCTGTTAAGTAAGCTCAGCTCTCTGTCAAGAGAAAGACATGGTCTTTTGAATGTAAAAAACAGTTCTCAAATTCATAGACATATGCAGAGAGCTGTCCTGTGGACAGATTTTGTCCTATTAATGACCCGACATCCCAAACCAAACGTGTTTTCCCAGTGGTGTCCTCAGACAGGAAAGAGCTTGCCTTTTATCATGACCTTTGAGTACTGGACTTGGAATGACCTCTTGTGGACACATGTGGTTTGCCTCCTATAGGATGAATGCTTCTGATCAAAAAGAGGAGACCACACAGTGATAAAACAAGTACAGTGTACAGTCTGCTCCCCAGGTTTTTAGCCACTGACAAATAAGAAGTACCATGTACTTCCATATTTCAGGGCAGAGACATAAAGGAAGTAATCAGTAATAAATGAAATGTGTGTTGACAGGTGAAAGATGACAGTGTACATCTGGGTAATGTTGGTTTAGGGGACAGAGCCCTGTTTCCCTAATGAAAAAGCTGCGTTGTTAGAGATCCAGCATTGATATAATTACAAACTTTCTCGCTTTACCATTGATTATGTCAGTACAGGGTGGTCTGTGCTTCTGGTAAATAAATGCCAGATGCCTGAATGTGAATCAGTTGTAATCAGAGGAGCTTTGTTTTCTTAGTATCAGTGCACTGAGCCAGATGAATGCTCTCCCCACTGGTAGTAAAGCTGATGAGCCAAGCCTTGTTGAGACAGTGATAAGATGTACTTACCTTGATAACTCATCATTGTGTATTTTAGGGGTTGTGTGTCTTTATAATGATCTGTAGAAGAAGAAGAAGGCTTACAGCTTGCTTGTCCCTCTTTTCAAATCCATCCCAAAGTCTGGAGGATAAAACCAGCCTGCCAGTGCCCTCTGAGGTTCCTCTTCATATCTCCCATGGGTGTGCCAACATCAAGCCAGCAGTGCTGTGGTAGTGCTCCCTGTCAAGAAGAGCTGTTGCACGTATACAGAAGACTTGGCTGCAGCTGCTCAGAACAGTGTCTTTTCCCAGTGGGCTGAGTGAAGCATTGTCACTTAGTCAGACCTGTGGTTTTGGACTGCATACGCAGGCATCGCTGTATGGGTTGCACTGAGGGCACACTTATAAGAGGGTTTTATTTTGAGCTCGTTTGGGGTTTTTCCACTATGAATACTGTCTTCAGATGTAGTAATGAAGCTGTGGTCCTTAGTGTTTGCTTTCCTTCATCCATGGACTACAAATGTGCCCAGGCAGTCTGGAACCAGCTATGTGCTGCTGCATCTCCTAGAGAACATTGCTGTAGTTCCTAGCATAACTGTCTGTTGTATTGAATGTTCAAGTTTCCTGTCTTACGTTCGTCCTGCAGACATGGCATCAGTGTAGGCCAAATTGCAGGTGGCTGTGTTTCTGATGTCCCCTGTCTGACTTTGTGAATTTTTAAGAAAGCAGCTTTTAAAGAACTGGTTTTGAGATCATGCACACCTCTTTCTCTCCTGGTGCCCCTCCAAAAACTGTCTGCTACGAGGCTTGCCTTCTGGCAGACAGCTGTTCACAGCACTGCTTGAAAAAGAAGATGTTGTGTGGAAGAGCAGGGTTTCACTTCAGATAAACCTCGTTGCTGTGAATGTGGTATGCTGGCAGGGCAGATTTGCTGCTTGTTTGTTTCTTTCTTATACTGTAGCAACAGCATGTTTCTTCATTTACACACTTCTCATTTGTCTTTCGGTAATGTTTGCATTTGTGTTGCAGTCTTGTTCTTGTGGAGTTCTAGGCATGTAAATATGTTGCCACATTCTTATAGTCTTGAGACATGAAAAAATGGAGATGAAAAGTCAGATAAACACTTAGTTTTATTCCTACAGAATTGCTGAAGAATTACAGAATTAGTGGTAATTTTTAAGTAGATAGCTTTGTCAAGTTTTTACAATTTTGTGTATTTCCCAGACAATGGTGTTTGTTTGTTTTATGCCCTTTGTTCTGCAAACTTAGCTTTTTGACTGATTGCAGGGAAATCAGTAAGACTGTCCTGTGCATCAGGTATTTTCCAAACCCAAGCTCCTCTTCCATGTGTACTTGTATTTAAAAAATGATAAAACATGAGAACTTGGAGTGTTATCATCCTGGCCTCAAGCCCATGGATACAAATGCTACTTGATGCATGGAATAGCTCCTTGATCTACCTGCCTCCTTCATGCTCAGCTGCCTTAATGTCTGCAGGCAGCTGGGCTCTGCTATGTGGCTGTGCTTGCTGTGGAGCAAAGCTACTGCACGTACTCTGCCACACAAGTCCTAGCATGCTCCTGAGCTACCTTCCCACTCCCTGAACGTACACATGTCCCAGTGCTGTCCTTTTGTCCATCTGTACAATGCAGAGGGATGCAAAATTGGTTTTGCTGTTTAACAGTGGGTTAATTTATTTTTACTGGTGAGTGTGTGCATGAGGCACTGTGCTTCCTTGTTCGCTGGGGCAGACAGGAACTGGGTCCTCTGAGGGCGGCTGCAGCTTCACAGCCCTCTGTTACAGAAGCAGAGGGTCATTTCAAAGTGTAGGCTTTCGTTTCAGTAGGCTGGAGCTCCTGTGCCAAGATATCACGGGTTGTTAGGAAAAATGCTTTCTAGCCTTTTGATACTGCATTGTATTAATCGTATATCAGTGTGCAATAAAACGTTATGTTCTCTACCACCTGCAATAATATAAGAAGTGGTGAAAACTGGAATGATAAAATCAGACCCATTGATCCAGAAAAACAGCCAAAAACATAAGCCAATGTTTTTAAAATTTTGTGAGGCTGAATATATGTAGGCAAAAGTAATTTTTTATTACTTTTGAATTATACTCCAAATAAAGAATTAAAACTCACAAGTAGGCAGCTGTGTAATTAAAGTTTTCTGTAAGAAGAGTCCATAAGCATCTGCCTCTTGCATCTGCTGACTTGGATACTCAGTATTGAAAGACTGAGTAACTATTGAATGGGTTTGTAGTGATCTAGTTACTTGTATTGCTGTCTGTATAATGAACATCAATTTCTTTTGTGTCTTAATCAGAATTTCTACCTGGCAAACAAAGGGAAGAATGAAAGCAAAGAAATGAATGATAAAAACAAAGAGGCTTTACTGGAGGTAAGCCAGCTTTCTAGGTTGGTGATGCAAATGCCACCAAAACTCTGCCACCATCTGCATCTGCTCTGCAACAACAGTGTTTAGTTCTTTGTGGGCAAATGTGTAATAACAGGAAGTTCTGTGATGGTTGTGTCTTTGTGTCTGAGGTTTCATATGTGGATTTTCCTCTGCATCTGCACAATTAAAAAAATGCAGATTGTATCCCCTATCAGAGAAATTAAATGATGGAGAATTATTTTGGGTTAGAAGCAGATGTACTTCTCACTACCAAGCAGATGTACTTCTCACTACCTCAAATTATTAGCCGTACCACAACAGAAAAAGAACCTTTGCACTTTTCCAGAAAGTCTGTTTAGCCTCTTGCCTTTCGTGATGAAGTTTTATTTCAGCTGTGTTTGAGAGAGAAGAATCCGGAGCTATCTGAAAGAAAAGATTATCACAGTTGTCCTGGCAAGCATTTTGACTTTGGTAAAAGTTCACAAAGGAAATGCTGTTCTCAGGTGACTGAGGATTCCCATTTCAAAATTAGTGCATCTCATGAAGGCACCAGACGTCAACCAGCAGAAGTCCTGGTAAATTCTAAATGAAAGCATAAAGTGATAAGTGTGTTGGCATTAAAAATTACCCAACAGAAGGTCCTTCAAGCAAACAATGAAGTCTATCTGTTTAAACAGTGTTGTAAATGCTAGCATGTATTTCAAAATGAAAGCAGAGATTGAGGGGGATTTTTTTCTTTATCTCTTTTTAGAGCTCTGAGCAGTGTGTAGAGATTCTCTCTATGAAATATTTGTCTACAGAATCTATAGATAACAACAATAGAGAAAAAACAGCAGCAGCAGTACCAACCATTCTGTTTTATTGCCTTCACTGAGCACATCTATGTCTAATTAAAATTGTAGGTTTTTGCTTGACCCTTTAGAGAATGGAAGTTTTGCAAGCTTTCTTTTCCAGTGTGAGCACCCAACTTGCACAGCCAAGTTACCCACATTAGTTTTGAAAAGTTTCCTTTGCTTGTCTCAGGTGTTCATCTCCCTGGTAACTGCATTCCCCATGTTCATAGGTTCACTGTCACAGGAAATGCCTGTATTTTTCAAGGGAGCGTTTTCTGATATTTATTAATAGGGTTGTGCTTAAATCAGTTTATTTTGTGTATTATTATTCTTGTTGCACAGGAAAGCTTCTGTGGGACATCTGTCATTGTGCCAGAGCTTGAAGGGGCCCTTTATTTGAAAGAAGATGGAAAAAAGTCCTGGAAGAGGCGTTATTTTCTTCTACGAGCTTCTGGAATTTATTATGTACCCAAAGGAAAAACCAAGGTCAGGAAGCCAAATAATCTTTTTAGCAATGAAACAATTCATGGAGGTGAAAGTGAAGAACTCCCAAGGTGACATTTTAAGAGCACTGTCTGGTGCATCTGAGAGGGTTAGGGTTTTTTGGGTTTAATTTTGACTGTACCACTTGTGCAAATATTAGAATGTAGTCACTGAATCCTGTCACGTTTCTCTCCTTTTGATTTCTATGGATAGATAAAAGCATTAATGAAATAGCACTCGTCCGGAAGTCAGTAGGGGAAAGAAAAACAGCACAGCGCCCTTCGGCTGGTGTTATGCTGCCAAAATGCCTCACTGTTATATGTGTTCCCTGGGGAAGAATATTTTAAAAGTTCTCAAGTAAACTAATTTCTTATCACGAAAAGGTGGAATTTTAGTTTGTTTGATACTGACTTTCTGTGCCAGTAACCAGCATGCAGAAATGCTATACATTTTTTCCTACAGTGATCTTTACCTAATGATTGTGTTGTGCCTTGTAAGGGTTTTTAAGACAGCCTGTTGTGTAGAAAGAAGTGAGACCAAATCAAATGCACTGACAAATCAAATGCACTGGCATTTACTATTGCAAAATATTTAAAAAATCCGAATTGCCAGCACTAGAGAAGCAAAGGGGTCCTGGACGTGTTGCACATAAGGGCGGTTGGCTTCTCATTTCCACAGTGATGAGGTAGAATAGTGGCTTCTGGGACTGGTGGGTTTTGGGGGTTTTTTTTGTATTCTGAAAACCACTTCTGGTTCTACTTACAGCTCTGCTAATGCTTCATATCTGAAAATTCTGGTGCTGCTGATGGAGTTTTACTGTCATGATTTGTGCTGTGAAACTTAACTGTTTTGCCGTTCCCTGACTAAATTACAAAATTGATAGCTTGTAAAGAAATGCCATACTGCTGCTCCAGTGACCTGTGTTTATAACCAAATCTCAGTGAAACATAGACCTAGATTACTGAGCTGCTTTCACAGCAATTTATTTTTACTTTACCTGACCCTGAGATAATTGCTTTCAGTCCTCAAATTATGTTGCACACACACAACATCCTATCAATTAGGAACTGGAATGCTCTTCAGAAGGCACTTAAGGTGGAAAGAGTATAAGAATAGTTAAATGAAAAGTCCATCTTGGACATTTCATTGTAGCCCACCTCCAGTGACGGCCAGTAGCACGGTGCCAAAGCAGGACAAGCATGTACTGATAGTTACCGGCCTTTTTTCATCATCCAGTGATACCTATTTCAGTGACTTTCCGTCATAGTGCAAATGAGGAAAGTGCTTTCTTTTTTCAGGTGACAGACTGCAAACTTGGGCTCAGGGTGGAGAAATGCAGTCACCTTGTAACAGCTATTTTAGTTCAGCACTTTGCCTGTTAGTTGTTACAGCCTGTGTACCAGCCTGCCTATTAACTGAGCCATTTTAAGGAACTGTGTGAGTGTTTCAAACTCACTGTGTTACCAATTCAGCCACTCACAGGGATTGAGGACCTTGAATCTACCTCTTTAGGAGGTAGTCACAGCTCTTTAAAATGGTACCACAATCAACTGTTTGCTCCTGCTTCTGTAACAGCCTTCAGCAAAAGGATGCATATTTCTATACCTCAGCCATTCCAGAGAAAGTCAAGTCTCTTATCTCAAATATGTGTTTAATGGTGACTTAAATCAGTTACTGGGCTCTGTATTGGAACAGCTGAGGCTCAGGTGTACATCTTTTGTGGATACGGTAATCTCTGGTAGATGAGCAGGGTGCAGTGAGGGTGCTAAACATCTTAAAGTGCTGCAGGAGAATTCATAAGAGCTCCTCAGTTGAAGCCCTTAAATTACGAGAGTCCATCCCATGTCAGGGCGGCATGAAGAGTGCACAGTGCACCTTGTTGCAGTCATTCAGTTGTGGGCAGAGTGATCTTTCTTTGAGATGCAGGAACAAACGGTGGACAATAGTATCTTCAACTGCCGCAGCTGTTTTGGACTTCATCATGTAATCATGTTTTCACTTGTTATAAAAAAGCAAAGAAGTCTGGCATACCTTTGGCATACCTTCATGTTGCCTGTAAAATACGTTGCAAACGTGAAAATACAGGGACACGTTCAGATAATTTTACACACATGCCTTTGGTGTTTTTGTTGTTTGGAGGTTTTTTGGTAACAAACCAGGCACCAGTCAGCGCCGTTGTCTTAATTTCTTCTTCAGCATTACTCTATTTATACCCCATTCAGAAGCATGCTGCTAATGGACAGGGTAACAAAACAACAGAGTCAGATTTGCAGTTACAATTTTAAAATTTGTTTCTGTTAGTTGTGTGCTTTGTCATGTTAACATTGCAGAAATACTAGCAATGAGTGCCTTTGTCCCTTGCATAAAAATTTGTCCCTTATTTAGAAGAAAATAACAACTGCATTCATATTGGTCTTAATTGCCATTACCTCATTTGTAAATGAAAGGAACAACTCATTATGCTACATGGATTTGGGCATGTTTAGGAACTTAGAGTGTTGGAAAATCCTAGGTCCACACAGTCAATGACAAAAACCCTGACTTCAGCTTCAGGGGAGACAGGGGAGAGAGAGAAGTGCTGTTTACATACAGTATGGAGTGTTTCCATTGCCCACAAATTTTGCTTGCAAACTCAATTTGTAAATAAATCCAACTCAAGGGTGTATTGTAATGAAAGGATCAATAAGAATGAGAACAGCATAGGAGAACCATCGTATGCAGAAATATAACCCCATTCTTAGGGGTAGAGAGTGTTTGTGATTTGTTATTTACTTTTTTTTTTCACAATTTCCTGATTTCTCAGTTTAACCAACAGTGACCGTGTGACCAGGCCATTTTTGCATTTCCACTCAAAGGATTGCAAAAGTTATGCTTTATATGCAGAATTCTGCACTGAGAATTGTGCCAGCAACAGAAACCTTGTTACTTTAGCAACATATTGTGAACTAACAAATATTATGATAAACAGAAAAGGAGTGTTGCCAGGGAATTTGAGAAAATTCGAAGCAAAACAGATGAAATGCGTGCTTATTTCCTAATGAGGGTTTGTTACATATACCAAAGAATAACAATGTCCCAAAGCAATTTAGAATCCCAAGCCGCCTTTCTCCACTCAGAATTGTAAGGGCGTGGTTGCAAGGCCTATATCTATTTTACTAAAGTTACTGCTTATTATGATGTTCTATTTGGTCTTATTAGCCACAAGCCAAAACCTCCACACAAAGCAATAAAGCACAGCAAAGCCAGAACAGCAGCAAAATGTTGCACTGTGTTATATATTATTCCTAATATGTACTGACCCTTTTCCAATTGATAATTTAAGAATGCCCACGCTTAAAATTCATCTTTCTTCAGTCAAGTTCATGACAGTTAAAAAAATAAAAAATGTTGGCATTCATGCAGTTGGAAAAAGTCCTATTAATGAGTACCACATCAAAATTCACTTTGTTCTAACAGTAATGTGCTTGGTTTTAATTTGTAGACGTCACGGGATCTGGCATGCTTCCTCCAGTTTGAGAATATGAACGTTTATTACGGTTCGCAACACAAAGTGAAATACAAGGCACCTACAGATTACTGCTTTGTCTTAAAGGTAATGTGCAAGAAAAATAAGTTCTGCAAATGTCATACACAGTTTCTTTTATACGTAAACATGTTTAAAGTTTGAAGCTCTGGGGACCCTGATGAGATAGAATACCTCCTGCAAAATTAAGTCTGTTTTCTTCTTCACTTCGCTGTTGATCAGCAACATACCTTTAGAACCTTAATTTTAAGGACTGGTAGTCCTATGATATATGTCTACACTGCATCTACAAAGTGGTCTTCAAAACAAGGCTGAATATGCTTCCAGTGACTGACTGTTCAGGTGACTGGACACATCTGGGCAAATGGCACACAAGGCAGATGTATGATGAGAAGACTGGCATTCCCTAATGTTGATGTTATGAGCACTATGGACTATATACTAAAAAGTATGTCTGCTTTTTATTTGCAGTGTAGTCATACCTGTTGAGTGGTTTGTTAAACTGAGATGCAAAATCTTGCAGGAATAGACATCTCAGATGGCATATTTTATTGCCTAACTAAATGGCAGGAGGGCAAAAGACATTGTTCACCCACTCATGAAAATCAGTGCTTGCTGATGAAGTAAGGATCTTGTTACTGCCTTGCCAGGTAATAGCACTGCAAATAGGCTGGGAATTCTGCATTGCTCTCAGAAAGGAAAAGGAGCCCATGCTTTTCACATAGTTCAGGCAGCAGAAATGGAGCTTTGAGGTTGCAGTAATTAGGCCTTGCTTGCTGTCTATACAGATTTTAGAATATAGTGGGATTATACAAGACAGAAGATGGTCTTGTTGCTGCTTCTCTACTAAAGGCCTGCAGTGCAAACAAGGTATTAGAAAACACAGTATATTGCCATCTCAGAAAAAAGTATGGGAAGCATTTGCATTAGAGGTCACTTATAATACCACAATTCTGACTGTAGCTGCACCCTTACAGCACTTTTTTATTCCCTTTCAAAATGTCCACTAGCCTAATTTACACATGGCCAAGCAGAGATGGTTTATAGACCCAGACTTATTTTCTGAAGCAGATGTATATAATTAACACAAATGAGCAGTTTTAACTATAGTTCTCCACAAAATGTTCTGCAAAACCACTTTATTCTTTTTTGTAAAACAGGGGTGAGCCTTCAAAAGTTAGCAAGTAAGCATTATTTCTGAAAAATACAACTTATAATAAAAAAAAAAAAAGGAAGGGGGGAGCTGATTTAAAAAATAAGGGGAAATTATTTTCTAAACAGATGACTGGTCGAAGAAGTATCTGACTAATTTTAAAAGCATAATTTTTGAAGTAGCAATGTGTTTAACTGTTCACAGTGATAAGGAAAGCTTTCTGGACTTACTGCCATCTTTTGTGAAAAGAGGTATGCTATAAATGAGAACTTACACAAAAAAGTCACAGCTCCACTGAAATACTTGCTTTATTGGATGTGTGATGTTAGCACTGTACCCTCAACGTGAAATGTGGAGAACAAGATCAAAAGCTCACTAGGGAAAGCTTTATGTGTAATAGGGTTATAAATATATGAAACCTACTTAGCAAAACCATTTGCTCTGATGCTGCTAAAATGTGTTTGCGGTATACTAGAATAAACATCATATTGATAAGGTCATTATATCTGAGCAACACTACTTAGGATGAATAGATTATGTTACGGTGATTGTTCTTCATTTTAATTCCCACAAATCAGCATTTGGTAGATTCCTGACCAGCTCAGTTTCAGACTTGGCTTCTTTTAACAGCTGTCTCTTGCAGTGTCTGGAGTTGGTCAGGAAGCATGGGCAAGCATTGATACATTCAAATCTTCTGTTGTTTCACAAGTGGAAGCCTCCCACTTAGGGTGGCTTTCTGAGTGTGATGCAATGTAGAGTTTCATGTTGATTATAATTTCTGTACATTAATTTGAATTCTATATATACTTTTCTGAAGGCATGCAGCTGAGATGAGTTCTGTCATATCCTTCTCTTACCTTTGGAGGTTGGAGCTGAGGATGTAATACATCTTGAGATCTGTGGTAAAGCTAAATGTTGGCCTCTCTGATTGGATGCTTGGTGACACGAAAGTGTGTGGACAGGAACACAGAGCCATTTATTATACTTAGTCACATTTTGTTCCTGCCTGTTTTTATGTGGAAGTCTCCCAGAAGAAAATATCTTTCTTGCTGGGAGACACTTGTCCTGAGATGTCAAAGGAAAACAAACCATCATCCTTGAGAGATTTCTCATCCTGCCACATTTTGAGAATAAAGTCCTCAAGATGAAATGACAGTACTTTTGCAGACAGGTGGAGTGAGCAAAAGGCAATAGATCTAACAGGTAAACATTTTTCTTTATTACACTGGTAACCTAGTAGTTTTGAAGGAATTTGTATGCCTAGCTCAGTTCAAGCTAGATGGAAATTTCTCCACAGCCAAGGCTGCAGTGCTGTGTCTTCACAGTTCTTCCATTCCCCTGTGTGTCTCTTGGGACAGTGAGCCCTGCAGAGGTTCTCTTCCACTTACTTGTTTGTGTTGGCTGCAGGAAAAGATTATCTGTCTTTAAGGCAAATGGGGGAAAGTAATTGGAAGAGTAGCAGCCATAGCCCACGCTAGCTGTTCACTGAGGATGGCTGTAAATCAAAGGACGTTTTCACATTTTGGAAAACAGATTAGTCTGCAGCCTTTATTAGCTCCAGCAAGCTGTAATACCACTTGGAAAGTTTTTGAATAATAGAATACCACTACATTTTTTTAAAGAGTTTTTGCTTTCTGAGGGGACCCCCTTAGGAACTGCTGTGTCAAAACAGTGAGCAGTCAGCAGCCAAGTTACTTGCTCTGCTGTTTCAAATTTAACAAAAGAAACTGCCCAGCTCGAAGGCAAGAGACCAGCTTGTACTTCGTAGTGCAGGAGAAATGCAAGGACTTAGCAGCTTAGCAGTATCTTGCATCTGTGCTAGGTGGAAAATCCTGATGAATTTGGAACCAGATATAATTTCCCAGTTTTGAGCATTGAGCTGAAAAAAAATACCATATTTATTTCTAACTGGTTAAGCTAATTGGCATCCTTACTTCAAGAACAGGGGAAATGCCTTTTGTTCATTCAAGTGGCAGCAAATGGCCAGTGAGGTGGACTGACTGGGAGTTAAATGTGGCCTCATGCTTGAAGGAAGGATCCCTTCTTTTCCTGCAGTCCCCATTTGAATTACAAACCTTCTAAACGAATAACTAGGCTAAAAGCAGGAACATTCGTACTTGCCTTCAAAGGCTCTGATATTAGCAGGGAGAAAAGATAAAACATTTCTTTTTGCCTCCCCCAAACTTGGTCATCTCTATGATGTGTCTTTATGGAGGGAAGTGCCCTCAAGAGATATTATAAGAACAAGCAGAACATTCTTGCCATATTTGTCTATATGCCAGACATCACCAAGAACTTATGGGAAACAGGAACCCTATAACTGATGTTAATCACAACTTGGTTTTAGCTAGAACAATGAGCTTTCTCAGGTTGCCTGACACTGCCCTGAACTACATGGGCTTTTGCCTTGAAGTCTTCATGACATTTATTTGAATGTTGCTTCACCTTGACCTCTATAATGGGATACGGGCTTTTTCTCCAGTTTCTTCTCTTAGGGTACAGTCAAGTGAGGGGCTTGCATAGAGAGTGAGCCTTTGGTCATAGTACCTGTCCCACCTAACATGCATCTAATCAGTGGGAGCTGGCAGCTCCCTGTGTCCTGTTTCTTTTTTAATCTTTCTTTTCTAATCTAGCCATTTAATTTCAACTCCAACTTTCAATTTAGCTGATGCTGGCTGGCTTGGGTCCTGGTGTTAGTGTAGCAACGAGATCATGCACATCATGGGCTTTGCTACTTAGGCAGAAGCTGGGGTAAATCTTGCAGCCTGTGATGTTGGAGCTTCTCCCAGACTAGCTATTTTAAACTAGGTCAAATATAAATGTTCTTGTCTGCAGATCCGTCCTGTAGGATGTTCCTCTTACAGCTTGAGAAGCATGATGTGTTGTGAGTGCTCCTTGCCTATCATTTGTTCCCATTACATCAATACTCCATTGTATATACTGTAGCTCAGAACAAAAATGGAGTGGGTTTTGCCTATGTGTTAACCATCAAGACACTGAGGAGGTAGTGGGGAAAAGGGTGGTGTACCAGAAACAATTCAAAAGTACATCATGGTTTCTACCAGCAAAAGAGAGAGCACTTTGCTGAGCTTATTCAGGAGTTTCCTTTCAGGATGATTCAGAAGAAAACTGCAGTAACTGAACAAAGCAGTTGCTTCCTCATATCAGCTCCTCTCAGGCAGCAGAAAGCCCAGCTGGGACCAACTGAAAAGAGCACAGCTGGCTGGTTGGTGTCAGAGAGCAGGGTCACCTTTAGCTGTCCCTGTGCAGCAAACCAGAACTGATGTGGCTTGGTCATGATGATGAGAGTGCAGCCTGGCACAGTCTGCGATGGAGTTGGCTTTCAGGAATCCTTAGGCTTTGGGGCAACTATAAAGCTTGAAGAACTGCTTTAATTCCCTGTAGCTATTTGGTCTGTGCTGAGCTGTAACAACCTTCTTAAACTGAGTTGTTCTATACCACTGCTAAACAAGCAAGCCTTCCTCCATCAAAGCACGTCACACATTTAAAAAACAAAAAAACAACAGAAAGAACCCTCCACATGTTAAAAATAAAGCCTCTGAAAAAAATAAATACTTCTGGGGCATCTGCTTCTGGGGCATAGTAAACATACAGATTCTTCCTATTTTCTACTCAGCCTCAATGTAACACTTACAAAAATTTAAAATCCCGCCCTTCACTTTGACATCAGATAAAGTGAATCTTTTCTTAATAGAGTCCTCCATGTGCAGAAAAGAGGAAAGGAAAGGGCAGCCAAGTGTGAAGGAGGACCCTCACTCAGACCTGCATCTGTCAGGGTCAGATCTGTCCCTCTGTTTGAGGCAGAGGACGCAGGAGAGGGTAGCTGCACAGCTCTCCCCACCACCCTGCTGGGAGTGCTGGCCACTCCTGGGAGAGAAACAGCAGGGGGAAAAAA